GGTACCTCTACTTAAACACCATTATGTCGCTTTCTTCGTGGGGAAGGTCATTTGAACATGCATCAATGAAAGCCCAGATAATGTCTAATGGGTGTGATATCACCAATTCACGCAATGTAATTAGTCCTCAGTGTCTACAACATACACAAACAGCAAATTTGCCTCCTACCATCGCGTAAGACAAACATAGGGAGCAAATACTTGCCAGAAATGCAAACCAAGATAAGAGGATAACGTGATATTGCTCTTGCAAGAGCATGACATTAATTGTGCGTGTATGTTCCGTGCCAAATATTGCCACAGCTTTGCACTTGATGAGAAACATGCCCATTATTCTTATGCTCTTGTTATTCTTATTCTCATTATCTTCCTGCGGTATATTATTTCGACCAGAGGCAACACTATCCTGGAGCATAAATGTGCCACATGTATTGTGCACCTTAGACCGAGCACAAATTGTGCGCTCGATACGTTTCGGCTGCTAGGAGAACGTTGGAGATTTCGCACAGGGACAGCGTCTACCGCCCGGGTCAGAATACGAACCAATGGTAACTCTTTCCGACGAAAGATCTGTTAAAGTGGTGCTGACGGAGAACATGCAAATATCTCATCCTAAGTTGACCAGCTACAGTCAGGAGTACTATTGGTGACCCCTAGCACTGACACTCTCATCCCTGTCTGCCTTTCGTTAACAGCAATGTGTCAACCTACTCGGGTGCATACCTGTCCCCCCATAGACGCATACATCTAGCCCTGTGCATACATCCAGGGAGTCTCAATGGTTAATGGCCAATGACCAATGAGTGTCACTGATAGTGCGTGCATGTAACCCCTCAGGGTGAGAATGAATTAATGCCCGTGTGAACTTGGACACACAACACGTTATTTTGATTTTTGTAACACACTAACTTATTAGCACTGTGCGTGAAGTTGCCTGTATAAAGGTATAGTTAGTGGTTTGGGAACTACACACTATGCACACATGCATTGGACTCACGAGAAGACGTGACAGGGAGACCAGGGATAAAGACGTATGCACATCAAATTTACCCGAGGTCCACCCACACAGGTGCTCCCCAGCCCGCATGCAGACACTGAACCGAACTGACCCAAACTAACCACAATGTTTCGGTGAAGTAGACGGGCAGCGAGTATAACGACTGGTCCCGCCCACGCCACCTCCCCAAAAGTTGGCGGGATCAGAAAACAATGCTGGTTGTACTACGACTCCAATGAAATCCGCATTGGTCTTGGGCTAAATTCCATTCCAGCACGTAAGCAGCGAAGGTTTGACTGAGGCTATGGAGTTACTAAATCTTTCTCATAGCGGGCCGGATCACCGGCAAAATGATTAACGCGGGCCGCATAATCATATGGTGCAATAACAATAAGCCACAACGAAAACGGTGAGAAAAAGACAAAGAATACGCGACACCGGGCATCCACTTTTCCTTTGTTAGGAGGCATAATGATGATTGAATTAAAGGGGATCTGAACAAGAAAAAGTTATGGCATTAAAATCAAATAAAGATCCTACTGATACACCAAGAAAACAGAGGGACACGGGTAATTGGTGGATCTAAGGTTCACCGATGGCGCATGTATGGCTCATTGATATCTTAGGTAATTGGAAATATCACATAGGAAGCTTTGAAATATATGTATTCCCTTTAAATTTAAGGTTTTACAACCCACTTTGGACGCTTTGCAAACGAGATTGGAGGTTTTGCAAAGCAAACTGATTATTTTGCAAACCGAATTAATCAAGTTGCATGTTGCGCAGAAAATCAGTAGTTTAGTAGGAAGAAATGAGGAGTAAGGCTGCTATACGAGGTTCAGGCTACATTGTAGTCATGCTAATTTAACCTAATTGTGTAACCGGCGAGTGCTATTGCAAACTCTTCTCTTCATCGTAAAGCACGATCACCTCGATCAAAGGCAGCGACTGAGTATACCCCTAGCTGCCCATCTGTCTTCTCAAATTTTATGTACTCCTGACGTTACGTATGAACTTGTGACTATTAGAAATTCAGACTCCTCAATCGCGTATTCCATCATGACTTGGAGGGTCGTGAAGCACTCGTTTCGAAAACGGATTTCGATTCGTCATCTCTATGGGGACCGCGATTCTTACTGAGCTAAACCTTGACCAATTCGATCATGTGCACCGTAATTGATGAAGAAGATAGGCGGTGATCCAGTTGTCCTATATCACTCTGTGGGCCTTCGCATAATTTTTGCGAGTCGATCTGTTCAGATGCTCGATTATTGGATCAGTTCAGGCTATCCTGACTCCACCTAACACAGCATAGCTTTACTGGCCTGCTGCTGCAAGTCGTTATTGAAGTAAGGAGATTAAAACTACTGCACGATGTTCAAACCACAGTGTGCTCGCGCGAATGCAACGGGACTGCGCAAGCAGTGGGCGATTGTGCAAGTCTTTCTCTTGATCATTGGCGTTGTTCACCTCGAGCAAAGCCGGCGACTCAGTTGTCTCGTGTCGCTCTGTGTGCTTTCGCCCATTTTGTGTGGGTGTGTAGGCGAACATATTCAGCCGTTCGATTATTGGATCAGTGCAGACTATTATGACTCCAGAAACCACAGCATATCTTTTTTAACCTTGTGCTGAGCGAAACGACAAAAACTAGCAAAAAGTGATTAAAGGCCGCATTTTCGATACCGAGGCGGTACAAGCGATAGTCTTTGTCACAGAAAGAGATACACACCAAGATGTGTTCTTCGACGACAAAACGGTCCACGAAGCTGTTGAAGTCGCTGATATGGACGAGAGCACAGCAAGAAATATCGTCCTTGCCTGCAGGAGAGAAGGCATGAGCACTCAGTGCAAATGTGGATGAAACAACGGGGAGAAGCTGACTCCCGATGTGCTGCATTGAGTTGAAGAGACCGCTGAACGGCATTGCGTGGAAATTTTGGTGCAGCTGCAGCAGTACTGAGCGAAAACTAGATCCAAATATCCGTAGTTACTATCTTGTACGTGCGTTGTTTGCTCACCGGGGATGTGGATGGAAGAAGAGGAGGGGTGGTCAAGCCATGACTTGGTCCAGAGGAATGAAGGCCCTCACTTCGGAGCTGGCCTCGGTTGGAGCGTCACGGCTCTCTGGTTGGGGTCCAAAAGACGGTGAACACGTTTGGATGGATACACTTGCTGACATGGCAAGGAGCCGACCTCAGTGGCGTTCCTGCTGTGAGTTTCTTTGTCCCTCCCCATCCCTTTTAGCCTCCCCCTCCACCTACGATCTTATTTCGCAGCGTATAACATAATTTTTCTTTTTGCCTAGTAGCTGGCTGATAGCTTACCGGAACGATGTCTATCCGTTGCTGGTAGCTCAGCTGGCATGCAACTTTTGTATTTATTTTCCTTTTTCCTTTATATATTGCGGCACAGTAGCTGAGGTGTTTCCCACCTCTAGCTAACGTGTAAAATGAATGACGAATGATCTACCATCTTGAACGCCCTCAGAAGCCTAAAGATAACGCTCAAGAGGTGCCACCTAGAGCTTGATTATGTCAACACTGCCAAGACCGTCGCACACAGGCATTCGCTCGAGTGAGAATGTACAGGGGAGGAAGGAAGAAAGAAGGCGTCAGCGGTAGCATGTTTTCGTTTATTTCCCTCGCTGTATGCAGCAGATAAAGCGACACTTTTCCTAAGGCCATTGCCCGACGGCCGATGCAGCACGGAATTATTATAATTGGCCTAATTCACAGTTAGGGGTTAGACTAGGATACTGGTAGGGCGTCCACACTTGACAGGAGAACGACTCGCTTCTTCAGCCCGAAAGGCAGCGATCCGTGCACCATGAATCAGTGAACCGACTCATGCACAGTTGTGGGTCCTGGATCTTAACTAGAAGAAACGCGTAACTTAGCTCCCACCCAGCGGTCACCAGGAGTAGGTGTCCAGGAAATGAGTATACGGCCAAACATTTGGGGTAGCGGGTCATCAATCTGTTAGGATCCAGCCACCGCAAGTCTCAGCGAGCCAGACGCCTCTGGCAATTTTCGAGTGATCAGTTCTCATGCTACACGTATCACGGCAAACCGTTCCAGACATTTACCACTCGCCGTTCAAGGCACAGAGGAGGAGGAACTCACATCAGAACAGGAATTACAAGCTTGTACTGGTGTGCACGAGTGTGCTGCAAGGTGTTCGCAAGCGGAGCAGTGGCCTCAGCATGGGGAAATCACCTAAATGTAGAATGCGATGATGTGGTCGACTGGCAACCAACCGTATGCCAGGGTGTATACAATCCCAGCTTATCGCTCCTGAGCCGGCCAGGCATGCTATTAAGGCAGGAGGTCGAGGATGTCAGTTAACTTCATGGATAACAGTCGAAGTACTTAGTTTATCACACTCTTCCGACGGTGGAACTTTTCAAAGTCAATTAGGTAGATATTACGTGATATGCTGGTCAAAAACGTAATGTTACAACTAGTAACTGAAAACTCGTACCTCTCATGGACGCAGCCGCTCGTTAGGCTTGGCAATATTCCGTTTATTAATCCACGGATTCAGCGACTAACCTAACTTCATAGGAGATGCAGGAAGTTATAGTCTGACAGTGAACGAGAAGGAGTTCGTGCTCCCACCTAAAACGGTCTGATTGCGAACACCTGTCAACTGCCTCTTGGCTAAAATCGGTGGACCTAGAGACACTTAATTTGGAGAAGTTGAAGAGCGTCAAGGTTAAATCGTTCATGCCTACCAACCATTATTACATTAGAATAAGCGCCACACAGCATCACGTTCTAGAAACCCATTTTTTAGCAGTACACAAGTATTTTATACTGGTGCTTGTTGCACATGGGCTGGACTATCACCAGACAGCGATGACTGGAGCCTCGAGGTGCGGAATTTGCAAGTTTGATGTCTCAGTCATTACATAACAGTTCAGAATAAAGTAGCACTCTGGTCCATCCACTATCAACGTCAAAGGGAGAAAACTAACAACAGTTATTTACTTTTATTATTTCAGTACTACCAGAAATTCATCACCGAAGTGGAGCAGCTCATACTATTACTGGAGAAGGCAATGCGTTCCGAACCACAATTGGAAGTAACTCTGCGAAGATTCGAAGCACAAAAATTCTGCTACTTACCCCTTTATGTATTTCTGCTGAAGCCAATGCACCGGCTGCTGCAGTATCGTGTTGTTCTAGAGCGACTGATGAGGCAATACGGGGAGGCGCACGCGGACGGTCCTGATTGTCGGGGTGAGTGAGTATGCCCTACCATCCACACTGAGACGCGTTGCGGTTTAATGCTGAGGTGTGCGTCATGGGGACCACAAGTTAAAGTTTACTGACCAGTCCAAACTGTCGATTATTATGTCACGAATCCCTGTTACATATACATAAACGCAGCCAATGCAGTGGTCAATGAGAAGGGCGCATATAACGCTGGCCAACAACAAATAATCCTATAAACACCAATTACTCCGCGAGTATCTGAAAAGCCGAGACAAATGGGAGGGTTATCTACATACTTATCACCATGACTGTCACCAAAGCGACAGTGCAGTATACCGCTACTTCGACACAGTATATGACTAGAGAAAGTTTGATTTGGAGATGCGGAACAAGATATATATGAAGACGGCTGGTTGAGAAGTAACAACGTTGGAAGACGCTGCGGGAGCTGGTGGTTGACTACTCTCTGTGTGTGTGGTTAGGTTGTCCTCCATGAAAATTATTTAACGTGGCTTTCACCATTCGCTTCATTCACAATCTGGAACGTACCGTAACCACACCATCCGGCTGAGATGTGAGAAAATCTGCCACAAGCGTTGATCGTGTGCCACACCATACAATAACTAAAGACAAGCACAGGATAGCTTGTCTGAGTGGTAGCTTGCGTGTTATGTGAACCATTGACACTAAATTTGCTTGCATTGCTCTCCACCAGCTGACCAGAGTATTGTTGACTTTACAGCAGGTTGAAAATCAAGTGCTTGTTTAAAATCTAGTGTGCAAAAGCATTTGTATGGTTCTTAGAATGTGACCAGTATGTTGACGCATCTATTTTTAATCTCTGATATCCTCTAAGTTTTTATTTTAACTGATTATTTCTCGGATTTCGTATATCACGGCGTATTGTCTCTGTCTTCGGGCAGTGTTCACAAAAGCTAGTCATCGGAATACGACATACATGCCTGTTAAGCCATGTGCCAATACACGTATGTGTCTTTCACGTTTGCAGCCGTTAATTCATCACTAACACTGTTTGCAGTTAAGAAAAAAAGGTACTGTCCCACCACGTAAACCCCTACCGTCTTATATATGCACACATCCTGAACTTTGTATATTTCAATTTTGCTAAGTAACGAGATTATTCTGTGCAGTAAGAGGACTTATTTCATTTTTATCCGGCACCATGGTGATAGTTTTACTTGAATTTTTCGCGCTGCAGATGGTTGTTCCTATCGAACTGTAAACCACCCAGGATTCGTAAACGGTCGATTGGTACAAGGGATTTGTGCCTCAACTCACGCAGCTTATTTCGCTGTGTCGAGTTAAATGGCTATAAAACATTTACGTGCATCAGCATTGTGGGTACGACGGTGCCACCCTGTCAGTCGGATCACGGATAGCGAGCACAAAGAGCTGGCGCCTTAAACTACCCATTCCGGTTGTCACAGCAGATGTTGTCAAACGAGCTGTACATTGGCAGCTATTCACGTGAATACAATTGACAGAGGAGAACTTAGATCTGGTTGAAAGCGAGTCACATCCATCAAACTTGGGGTTGGTACATCAGCATTTCCTTACGCGATCAACCGATAGAGAGAGGATAAACTGGGGTAGATAACTCAATACCATCCGGAGTCATGGATACAGCGTGGTCTGATAGAGAGCTTTCGATAACGGAGGATCGTTGAGCACCACCTGGAATATACGCATGTGGTAACGCTCCATTGCTGCTGCAGCCACTCGGAAATAACGGAAAACGGTGAGTATTAGGCATCGGGGAAACGTATAACCCATGGTCTGCATTTGTTCCCAACCTTTCTGTAAGCAGCAGATTAGGCGACCCTTCTGTGATAGTGCGGCTGTGGCATAAGACGATACCGAAACTTGAGGAGACACGCCCGCGGACCGGTGCACTATTGGGATACGCAAAATTGGCCGGTAGGTAAGTCCCAGTGTAGCTCGTCGGAGCGTCGCTGTAGCAAGTCGACAGGTAAGATGTCGTCGACCGGACACATACTACACTCAGTCTTCAGATAAGTACTACTGCTCAGAACCACAATCGCGAAACAATGGAAACCTGAGTACAAACCAATAGACTGATCATTTTGGCGTCAGTGGATGTCACATCAATTGCGGGAACATGATACTGAATTTATGTAAATAGCCACCCACCACTTTCATAGAGATAGCTGGCAGTTAGCAGAAAAACTCCAAAAACCAGTGCTGTGTGCTAGGTAGGTAGGCAGATCGTTGTATCAGTTTAGGCTTTGATCTGGATGCGTGAACACAAATGAACCCCGCACTACCCATTTTAAATTACCGTATACAACGCTGATTCCCCAACGAGTAATCAATGACCGCTGACGAACCTAGTGTGTAGATTCAAACATTATTGAAAGTCAATCTTGTGACGCGCGATTGGTAACTTTCTTAAGTTCGTCCAGTCGAAACGGCCTTTTTGGGCGTATGGACAAACGCGAATCAGTTTCGGTGCTGAGATAAGTTTAATGACTTTGCATTGGACAACTAGTTTTAAGTATTGGACGGGCCATTTTGAATTATTTTTGTCCATCCAGAGGAACAGAGAGACCGAATGTGTTAAGCTACACCTTTCCTTCTCGAACAGGCTAGTAGGGTCGTGCTAAATTCGCATTTGCATGTGCGATAACCTGGGGTGGAACTGCACTGTCACGAGTATCAAAACACAGCGATGAGATGTACCTAGTCGAGACAGCTAACATGTACGATGGTGTAGAATGTGTGAAAAATGGAGTGGTGCGGCCGAATACAGAGTCGGTGTAGGGAATCGGCGGGTTATACAAAAAAGAATGCCGGGAAAGATAATTTTACTTCTGAAGAGGTAGACATGTAAAGCGATAAGGAAAAGCCTCCAGTTCAGTAAAAGACTAAACGGGCATGCATAAAAATCCGATTGAAAGCGCGTGACTGGTATCATTGATTAATGGAACATAGATGAGAATGAGGCGATCTAGGATCCAAGTGTATATGTAGGGAGTGTATCGGGATTCATAAACCGCTATTCACCGAAAAGTAGTGCAAATTGCTAAGTTCTGTAGGTGTGTTAATCGAAATGGCACAGCCCTGCACATGATCACCATCATTCTACTAGCTAGCTGGAATTGAGATATACTTCGGCCCTTATGCTGCAATGTAACTCAATGCGATTGGAAAAGTGAACTGCGAACTGACAAATTATACAAAAGACAAAGTAAGGACAGATAGTCATTTGTATTATGCATCAACTGGTAGATTGTGATTTGAGAGGGACGCCGCTGAGGTGGACTTTTCGCCACATCAACAAGTGTCCCCAACCAAACGTGCTCATCATCTTTCGGACCGGAACGCGGAAGTCGGGAGGTGCCAACAACCCGCACACGTACTTTGAGACACAACACGAGAAAATGCAATGAGTCTGGGTACACAATTTCTTGAAAGTTCCCTGAATGGACGACCACAATACAACCGTCGTACTTCAGATTAGCAGTACTGAAAATTTGGCCCTGGTAGGCTGGAGATAAAAGGATAGATAACGAACAAACTTCCGCTGCCGGCGTTAGAATTCTAAGCTGCCGAAGTAACTGTCGCACCGGTCGGACGTGCACACAGAGGGGTACGTGGACTCGAAATCATGAGCGCGCAGTCAGCCACCAGCGTTAGTGAACGTTAGCATAATTGAAATCATGTTCTTCTCTACTCTGTTTGTAAACTCTACACTGGGTAATGAAATGCAATGGACGCAGTTGTTGTGGCTCGTGTCGCCACAGAAAAGTGATACTTAACGAAAAGGATGAGAAAAGAACGAATATTAGGTTGTTCGGAAAGTAATTTCGCTTTTTCGTTTCATGTTTTATAATTTTTTCACAACCAACTTCACACTTAATCCGCATAGTCATGATATATATTGATAGGTGACATACCAAGGCTTGCTGGTGGAAAAGTTCGATTGATTGTACGAAGTAGTTTTTGTTTGGTGTCTTTTCAAATATTGGAAGTGAAAACCAGCGTTTTCGGAACATTTTACTTTTTTACTAGCGAAAAGGTAAAAATGCTGTTCAAGCAGGAGAAAATTATCGGATGTGTATGGCGAAGATCTACTGACAGAACACCAGTGCCAAAACTGGTTTGAAAAAATTCGATCCGGCAATTGATTATTTAATTGATTGATTGGTTGGTTAATTGGTGCAAATCTGTGAATAAGGACTCGTGAGATCGCTGAGATTAAATTTATCAAATTCGATCGTCCATGCTCTTTTGAAACGCGTAGGTTTAACGAAACTTGACATATGGATTCCTCGTGTTCTGACAAAAACACCAGTGCCGTCGCGTTGATGTTTGTGATTGGCCACTCAAGTGTCAAGAAAATGATCCATTTTTGAAGCACATCATCACTGGGGACGAGAAATAAGTTGTCTACAACAATGTTAAACGCACTAGATTATGCGGTAAAAAAGAGTACCTGACTCAAACCACTTCGAAAGCCGATATTCATCAAAAATGGTGATGCTATCTGTTTGATGGGATTACAAAGGAATCATTTTTTGAGCTTCTACCGAACAACACAACAATCAATTCTGAAATGTACTGTCATCAGCTGAACAAAGTGAATGATTCACTTGAACAGAAAAGGCCAGAATTAAGCATTAGAAAAGGTGTAGTGTTCCACCAAGATAATGCGAGACCTCATACAAGTTTGGTAACTCGCCAAGAGCTTTTACAGCCCGAATGGGATACACTGTCACACCCATCATATTCTCCAGATCTGGCACCTGGTTATTATTTGTTCCTGTCTCTACAAAATGTTTTAGACTGTAAAACCTTTACTTCAAAAATCACCTGGATCAGTTTTTACCAGCAAAGAACATACCTTTATGAGCGTTGTATCATGCTACTGCGGAAAAGACAGCAAAAGGTATTGCACCAGAATGGACAATATATAATTCAATAAAATATTGATTCGCTATAAGAAAGTCATCCTTCATTTTCATACAAAAAAGCGAAAAACT